ACAGTAAACTCATAAATATAGTGCAAACATTATATTGGAACCAAAGTGCCATAGTTCAAATTGATGGGCAACACTCAGAAGAAATGAAGATCTGTAGAGGAGTTAGACAGGGATGTGTGTTATCACCACTTTTGTTTAACTTATATTCTGAAGAAATTTTCCAAAACACGCTCAATAATATCGAAGCGGGAGTCACCGTTAACGGAAAATTAATTAATAATTTAAGATATGCAGACGACACTGTGATCATAGCAACGAGTATAGAGGATCTACAACATCTTATCGAAAGCTTGAGTATAAATAGTGCTGAGATGGGAATTACTATAAACGCCAAAAAAACGAAGTACATGCTGATTACAAAAAGGCCACAAAATATACATCACCTATTGACAATAAATGGTAACGTGATAGAACAAGTAGAAAAATATCAGTATTTGGGAACTTTGATCAATGAAACCAATGATCATACTGTAGAAATAAACAGACGAATAGAGATTGCCAGATCAGCATTTATACGAATGAAGCCACTCCTAACGTGCAAAAATCTAAATTTGGAGATCAGACTACGTACCATTCGCTGTTATATATTTTCAATATTATTATATGGAGCTGAGACTTGGACATTAAAAAAATGTAATTTAAAAAGAATCGAGGCCTTCGAACTCTGGTTATACCGCAGAGTATTGAAAATATCATGGACTGATAGAATTACAAATAAAGAAGTACTGGAGAGGGTTGGTAAAGAAACAGAACTAATCACCACTATACAAACCAGAAAACTGGAATACCTAGGCCACGTGATGAGGGGACCAAAATATGAAATTTTGAGACTGATAATACAGGGAAAGATTCAAGGAAGAAGATCTGTTGGCCGAAGGCAGAACTCATGGTTAAAGAATCTACGTGATTGGTACCAATGCAGATCGATTGATTTGTTTAGAGCAGCAAGTTCTAAAATAAGAATAGCCATTATGATTGCCAACCTCCGTAGGGAGACGGCACTCTAAGAAGAAGACATCTTTTCTATTTTCCGCTGAAATTCTTTTATTTAGTTTTTTATATTCTTCTTTGTTTCCCTTTTCGTTCTCGCTTAGGTTTCGTCGTAAATTGAACCCCCTCAGCATGAACAGACATTCAATTATGTGTTGGTCGAACTAAATTGAAACTAACAAATTTGGCAAACACTTATCATAATCCAGTCGTCAGATATTTGACATCTAAAAATCATACAAACAAGCTGAATTTTGCTATAAATGTCAACTTTGGGACTCTAAAAAAGATGCAAAAAGTTTGTACTACTTTTAACCCCCAGCTTCTTCCTCAAACTCCCTCTGTAGGAAGGGCAAAAAGGAAAAATTGATTAAGCAAGAATCTTTACGCCGCGCGCCGTAGACAAAAATGTTTTAAATAGAAAATGTACCTTCCATGATTTTGAAAAAAAAAACCTTTCTGTAGAATATAGAAATAACGCTTGAAGCGGCCGGTAATTTTCAATATCGTATACGTGTGCGAAATAAATTTTAAATAAAATTTGTATTAGCTCGACGGTAAAATTGTACAAATTTAATATATTTTGTAAGAATAAAACACTGAAAACTTTGTTTTCAAACTTCCACAAAATTTATTTTAACTTCTTATCACTACAGCTGTTTCGGCTGATTGCCTTTCTCAAGTGATCTATTTTAGGCATGCGTTTACACTTTATAGTCTCTAATGAAATAGGTTAAGGAGAGGAGAACTGTTTGTCTCAAGTTGGTCATTCAGAATAATATTTCTGTTTTTTATTTTGTTGATTTCCATAGATTCTAACAAAGATAAGTTAAGGCCTTTATTTTGAATGTGAAGAATTTTAAATTCGTCATTAAAAGAATGATTGTGATCTAGAAGGTAAAGTGCGTATGTAGAATCTGTTTTTCTATTATTGAAAGCCCTTTTATGTTCTGCTATTCGTTTATTAAAGTTTCTACCAGTTTGAACGATGTAAGTTTTGACTGTAAGGCAGTCACCACATTTAAGTTTGTAAACACAACTGTGTTAGTATTTTTTATTTTGGCTCTTGTTGTTTTTGATACATTTGCCTAGGTTGTTATTTGTTCCGAAAGCTAGTGTTATTCCTTGCTTTTTTATGTGTTCGCTATTTTAGTTATTATTTTGCCTGTATATGTAATCGAGCAGAAGGTACTGGGTTTTTTCTCTGGTGGTGAAAATACTAATTTCAGGGCTTTTTTGTGTAGTTTTTGATTTAACATTTTATTAATTGTTTGTTCGTTGTATCCGTTGTTTACTGCTATTTGCTTGATGATATTTAATTCTGTCTCAAAGTTGTATTTTGACTAAAACTTTTTTTTACGCAGAAAACTTACCTTAACCGCCTAATAGAAAATATAATTTTTAGTTTAGAGTTACGTAAGTACACGCGTGGATTACAATGGTAACAGGACACAATCTATTTCTTACACCTACACACATCAAGTGACAGTCGCACACTAAAACACTTAAGGCTATTTTAACAGTTAAAGCACACTACGATTTGAAATGGGCGTATCACTTACTTTTCTACACTGCTTATGTCAGGAGCTACGTAACTCCCTACTTGTAATTGATTTGAAATCTACAGCGCTCACAGCGCGTTGAACGATCGATATTACCGATCGCTTCAAGCGTTGTTTCTAAGAGAACTGTTTTTCTATAAATTACTAATATCTATTTTTGTTTTAAATTATTTTTAATTATTTAAAAAAATTTTTCTACGGCATACAGATTGTTAAAAAATCCATTTTTTTCCATTTATCCCTCCCTATGTGGCGGTCTATATTGGAATCAAACAGCAAATGTCAAGGTTGAGGGCAGACTAACAGAAGAAATTCAAATCCGTCGAGGAGTCCGGCAGGGATGTATCTTATCGCCACTTTTATTTAATCTGTATAGTGAAGCTATCTGTAAACAAGCACTTGAGGAAGAAGATCTTGGTCTGATAATAAATGGTGAGACGATCAACAATATAAGGTATGCTGACGATACAGTTCTCCTAACGGGAACGCTGGTAGAACTACAACATCTCGTTCAAAGTCTCAATATATACTGTAACAGTTACGGCTTGAAAATTAACTTGAAAAAAACTAAATTTATGGTAATCACGAAATCAAAGAACATCAGAGCTAATCTTGTAATAGACAACACAACGATTGAGCGTGTGCCCTGTTATAAATATCTAGGTGCTTGGATCACAGACGATACTGATCAAACAAAAGAGATTAGATGTAGAATAGAAATCGCTAGATCAGTCTTTAATAGAATGCGCAAACTCTTTTGCAATCGTGATATCAATATAAAGTTACGAATACGAATGCTGCGGTGTTATGTCTTTTCTACCCTGTTATATGGAGTTGAGGCTTGGACACTAAAACAGTTGACCATAAAAAACATCGAAGCTTTCGAGATGTGGTGCTATAGGCGCATTCTCAGAATATCATGGATGGACCGCGTCACTAACACGCAAGTACTCCAAACTTTAGACAAAAGATGCGAAATTCTAAATGAGATAAAAACTAGAAAGATGGAATACTTGGGGCACATTGTGAGAGGTAAGAAACATCATGCAGGGCAAAATTAAGGGCAAAAGAAGTGTGGAAGAAGAAAAATATCGTGGCTTCGTAATCTACGTGAATGGTTCGGGTGTAGTTCGATTGAACTTTTCAGGCGCGCTGCTAACAAAGTCGCAGTGGCCATGATGATTTCCAATCTCCGCTAGGAGTGGCACGAGAAGAAGAATGTGGCGGTGGTTTAAGAGGAAGCTGGGAGGTAAACGTAGTACATGTTTTTTTATCTATTGTAGGGTCTCAAATTTGTCATTCTCAGCAAAATTGGACTTGTTCGTATGGTTTTTAGAAGTTCTGTGGCATTTTTGTCTCTGACAACTGGAGTATCGAAGGTTTTTTTTATACAAAAATTTACCTTTTTTATTAGCGATAAAGAAGAAAGATGCAGAACTAAAGTTTGAAAGATAGAAATGTCAAAAAGTAAAAAAAAACAAGTTAGTTACACAAAATTTTAAGAGACACTACAAAAGGTACTCTAAGGGTGAGCGCCCACCAAAGTGGCGTGGCAGTGGCAAGTAGCTAGTAGCACGCGTCTAGCATAATGTAACCAATGAAAACGAATGATTCAGTTTACACCAAAATGACAATAACGTCATTCATTCTAATCATTCGTTAGGATTGGTTACATTATGCTAGACGCGTGCTACTTGCTACTTGCCACTGCCACGCCACTTTGGTGGGCGCTCTCACTAAGAGTTCTAACGATTTCTAACGCAACAGTTGAACAAAAATTTATATTCTGATTTTTTAAGCTACGTACACGTTGATCTTGTCGAAATGAGTAACACCGTAACGCGAGCATTAGCTCTTCCGTATTACTTGCTCATCCATAAATTTATCCTATATACAAGCGTGTTTTAGTCTAAGTAGCAAATCCATTCAGATTTTATACAATCAAGTTAGCCATTTTGTTTTCTGGCTAGGGTATAAACCTTCGATCTACTAGATTATTCATAGTGGAATGATTCACTGACTGAAATGAGGATATACTAAATGAAATTACTTATTTTAAAGTACTCTAGCATTTAACAACAAAAATATTATAAAGCTTTTATTTATTATAGTTTTACCACATAATTAAGAACCAGATAGAAGCAAAACTCCTTGATGTTGTAGGGACCAAGATGTTTGACCTTTTACACCACTTACAGAATTATACACTGAGAAACAAGTATTTTTACTTACATTTACGTTCTTCGTGTTAAGACTTGTTTCTCAGTGTACAATTCTGTAAGTGATGCACAAGATCTATCTTGGTCCCTACATAAAAAAAACCGAGTAGAAATCATATCAGTTTGGTTTCTATGGGGTTATTAATTCTGTGGCTTTACTTTATTACACCTAAAATTTCTATTATTATTCCGCATCTAGTCATAAATAAAAAGAAATTTTAACTTTTAGGAAAAAGCCTATGATATGGCAAGTTTCTTGGATGATATTACAAACGTTAAAATTGATGTAAGTTATTAAAAGCTTATGAAAGAACACTAGAGTATACCTTGATATTTTTAGGAACAAGTCATCCCTAAAGTGCCACAAGAGCCGACTACGAAACACACCAAAAAGGTATTGAAACAATAGTACCCACTAAGAATATGTTAAAAGTGTCTAAGTTTGGATAATACCAGTAATTAATTTTCTTGAAAGTTATGTATGGAGAACATTATTAAGTAGTTTTAAAATAATCCTGATCTTAATTTCGATAGAATGGTCTAAGCAGTTGTCTTTTTCCTGTCATTATCCTTTGATTGTTATTAACTATTTAGTTGTCATTTCCAAAATTCTAAACGATTTTGCTTTATGTTTGTTGTTAAACCAATGTGGTAATGAGTGCGAATTCATGTAACTATTGAATTATCGTGTCATCTTACTAAAGAAATGTGCGTATTTTTCTCAAAGCAAGAGTCATAACAACCCCTAGGGCTTTTTTTATAAGGTTTGTACACTCTAGAGGACACCCTTTTGTTCTATCTGCTCTTATAGTTCCTGTTCCAAAAAACGCTCGTGTCCAGTATTCAAAATAAACCATAGGATGAAAAAAAATTACTACCCAATGTTTGTTTTTTTTTACTTCCTCAACAGATGCACCTTGATAGGGCACAAACTTGTACATATATCCTTTACTTGAAGAAATACATCAAAGTTTAAAACCGAACCTTACTGGCTTGCCTTTTATAAACATCTTACACGAGTGCCGTCCAAATTATGGAATCATTTCTTCAGCTATAGTTATTGTGTGAGAACACACCAAATTGCATGAATTTCTCATTGGTTTTGTCAAAAAATGGGCGCAATTTACAAAACTTATCACTTCTATCTGTCTACTATCGCAAATTACGCTTAACGGTGGTAAATTTGTTATGACTCATGCAGCATTTTACAACCTGCACCCCTTTATCTTCGTCAAGTGACCAATACATATGGACTTGAGGTAAAGTGTGGTATCCCTATAAAATTTTAATTCCAATAAAGTTCAGAAAGTCTTTTCTAGTTAGACTAAATTCATGTCTACCATTGGCATTATCATATTGTAAAGAATCTTGAACAATCATGTCTTACATATCTAAGTCAAAAAATAGAAAGAACATTTCTAATGATGTCAGTCATTCCAAAGCCTTCAAAGATTCAGTAGATGCTTTTTATTTGATTCAGGTAACTGCTTATGTCAGTTGCAAGATGTATCATTTCCTATCTTCCTTCACAGAATTCTTAAATTATAAATAAATAAACATTTAGTTTATATTTGTATTTTTTAGCTATTCTTCTTAAATCTAATTTTTTCTCAATTTTTATATAACTTTCAAGAAAATAAATTTCAATATATTTCATTAGACATTTTTTATATTAAACTATGTGGTTTCTAGGACAACCCAGAAATGGACAATATTGTATTAGATCTAGATGATCTAATTAAAGGCTACAAGGTAAAAAATACTCTAGTTGATAAAAAAAAATTAAATAACTAAATTTGTGCATTTGTAGGATGACAAAACACCAGTACATCACAAAATTAAACTAAAACAGGTAACAAATAATAAACAGTCTAATGACCGTAAAATAAACTCACTAAAATAAAATGATTTTTAGAGTAAACCCAAACAGAACAATTCTCAGGAAGATCTGTTAACAAAGGTACTTATTTACCTCAAATAAAAATAATAGAAAATTAATGATACATTTTTTAGGACAAAAAAACTGTGTCTCATGCTGTACAAGCGGCGAAAAAGGTAATATAAATTTTACCGTATTTTTGAAACCTTCTAATAAGTGTATATTTATTTTAGAGTGTTAGTGTTAACTCAGATTTTGAGTTAGTTAAAAAGGTAAAATATACATGTGGGTTCTATTAGAATTATAATTAGGTTAAATATAAGTTGGGAGAATCATATCTGAATTAAAAAGTAAATATTACACTAAAATAAAAATCAGACATCTTAGGTAAACATACATTAAATTTAAAAAATCAACCTTCAACACCAAGAGCTTATATTATGACTATTACAGGAATTACTATAAACCTCAACAGTTTTCCGGGATGAACCGCGTTGATTATCATTGTGCCGAGCTTTCGACATCCTGTTCGATGTATTCTTCAGGGCTTCCAACGTCTTAGGCTCCTGAGTCCCCAGGTGGGGATTGCATCTATACAGATGCAGAGTCTGTGGCAGAGTCTAAAATCGTAGAGTAGAGCAGAGCCCCGAAATTGAACGCCCAGGGTAAAGAGATCCTATTTGGAAGCCGAGATCAAACTGAGGCCAAGGGCAGAAAATCTCGTATATTTATATTTATATAACAGTTTCAGATCTCTCGACCAATAATAAAATTGAAAGCGGTTTTAAGGCAGGGCGATGCGCATCAGGTTGCGTATTAGACCACGACTTGGATGATACTAGTACTGAGAATAGAGGACAGAGATCATTTATATCGTCGATGGTGATGTCGCTTTGGTGAAGGTTGGTGTGGGGGTTAGCGTAAGGATTTTCGCGAACATTTCTGACAGTAGGATTTTGATTGACGGATGGAGCAGAAGGTGTTTTCTTTATAAAAAGGCTCCAAGTCGAAGACAGCCGTATGCCGTTATCTCTTTTATTGAGGCAATTTGGTCCTTTTCAATTTCTATAACTTCTCGAATAATTCTCGGTTTATAAAATCCTTGGATGATGGCTATTGTTTGATGAAGTTTGTGATCTTTATAAGGATAGTGTTGACCTAGAGCTAAAATTGAGTCGGAATTGCGAACAGAAAACTGTTGAGTTTAATGAATTTTTCCTATATTTGAGTAGAACTGATGTTTAGGCTACTGTACGCTATTATTAAATAGTTTGCACGCTTCTTCTTGTGATCAAAAACTAACCGAAAACTGCTTAACTCATACTGAAAGATACTTACATTCTGGTTCACACCATCGTTTGGTATAATTAAATTATGTAATCAAAACCGTAATTAAAACCATATATTCTTTATCTTATAAAAATTGCATACAAATAAATATCGTTGCTTACGTTACTTATCGTTCAAAAAAATTCTTAAATGTTACATATAACTAAAACACATTTTTGTATAGTTGTTTTTCAAAATAATTTAAAGAACTAAGCACATAACCAGACTATGAAAGTTTTACACCTTTTCCTTTTATCAGAATTATAATCATCAGAACTAGAGCCAGTGTCTCAACTGTGCCGAATAACAATTCAAGCGGTTGTAGGATCCATTATGGGGTATACATTTTCTTTGTCGATACTATGGGAAATACGATTATTCCAAATTTTACTATCAAACTCGTTGACTCCTTACCGTATGTTGTCTAGCAGCACTGCGCTCAATGTGGGCGACTGATTGCATTTCCTTAATCGCATCTTTCTTATTCCTCAAATCATTTCTATGGCATTCAAAACGCAGTAATCAGGTGGTAAGCGTAAAATAGTATGTCCTTGTGTCTTACATAGTTCCTTAAGTATTCTTTGTTAAAATTGTGGCACTTTACAATATTTAATAAATCTTTCTTTAATGGGACTCTTTTGGAAGACGTATGTTCTTATCAAACGTGTGCTACAGACCGTGCACAAAGAGCGAGAATTGATCAACATAATCAAAATGAGAAAGGTCCAATACTTCGGTCATATCATGAGAGGACCTAAATATCTCTCACTCCGGTTAATCATTCAGGGCAAAATCGAAGCAACATTAGACAATGGACAGGTCGAACGTTCGAGAAACTGTTTCATCTAGCTGCTGACCGAGAATCATTTCATTTCATCAATCTTGTCAATATGACTATAGCCAACGCTTGAATACAAGCACGGCACACAAAGAAGATGTTCTTATCTCTCAAAAAAGCTACAACATCATATCTCTCTAATCTGCAAGCTAATCCGTTCCGTCCCGTGTCAAAAGGTAACTAAACTCATTGATAACATGCTCACTGACAGACCTTTTCAAGTCACAATAGACATTTCTAAAAGTTTCCAAATGAAGCTCAGCAATGGACTGCCACAGGGATCTGTTTTGCCACACACCCTTACTGCTCAATTTATATATCGCGGACCTACCTAGGACAACTTCGCAGAAATTTGGCTACGCTATCGATTGTTTTCTTATTTTTTACATTAGTGGGTGGTCCTTCGAATTGGAATTAATTACTTTACTAAGTACGCTCTAAATAGTAGTAAGATCTTCTTCTTCTTCTAGTTTTATGACCGTTATCGATCGTTGGATATCATGTTGGCTACCATATTCGCTATCGTGACCTTATTGATAGCAGCTCTAAATAACGATGTAGTTGATTTTCCATACCATTGCCTTAGATTTTTCAGCCATGATGTTCTTCGTCTACCAGCACCACGATTACCTTGTATCTTACCCTGAATGATCAGATGTAAAAGATCATATTTTGCAGGGTGTCTCATAATGTGACCGAAGTATTCCAGCTTGCGTTTATTTAATATATTGACCAGTTGTGTTGTCTCAGCCGTCTAAGGACCTCCTCAGTTCTAACTCTGTCAACCCAGCTTATTTTCAGTAGTCGTCTGTATACCCACATCACAAAGGCTGTCAAGCGTTTAAGCATAGCCTCAGTTAGAGTCCACGCTTCCACTCCATACAGCAGGAAGAGATCGAAGAGAGAAGTAAGATCACCATCCTTATTTGTAGAACAAGTTTTCCGATTATTTTCACCACCTTCCCTTAACTATAAATTGTCGGTACTAATAGTTTTGTAAGTTGACTTATTCTATTAACAATAGTTCTGTAAGAGTTACGTATATTTTCTTTTTAACCATTTTTATATATACGTCCACGTAACATATATGTCCAAAACAATACGTGACTCTGTACATGTAGGTCTGTGTTGTTAAAATTTTTAAATTCTTCAACACTTCTAATTCTAATTCGATTTTGTGCTTACATTTACTTCATTTTCCAATGGTTGTCAAAGAGCCATATTGACAGTTTAATTATTTAAAACATTTATCACACGTCGCGTTGTAAAATACTTAACAAACATTTAGCTCTTCAGCACTGGCATGAGTCAATAGCGTTATTTATCTGTTCATCCTCACCGGCAGTAGCGGCAGTATAAATGTGAAATATTGGTGATTTTGAATAACATTATCAATGTCCTATATTTATTTAATGAGATGTACGTTTTATTTTCTGTTTCATCTTTCTCTCTTCTATGAAGTACAGGGATTGTTCAAACACGTTTAAGAAATTGACGAGTCTTCTTTTTCTGCTTCTTCTTTTATTATACAGATGACTCTGTCTGTTTTTTAATGTGCTTTCAGTAAGTTGTTGTTCCATCGTTTTCGTGGTCTTCCTACTGATCGTCTTCCTATTAAGGAGCCGTCTTGTACCGTCTTTATTACTTTATTTGTTGTCATTCGGCTTATATGATCTTTCCATTCGACTCTTCTATTTCTTATTCAAATCTTGATGTTCTCCACCGTGCATCTACTAATGTTCTATCAGTAGACTTTGTATATTAGTCAGGATAAAAATTATTAAAGATTACTTAAATTAAACAAATTTTATCAATCTTAATCATCTTAATGTACAACAAATAAAAATCTATATAATTCGTGAAAGATGTTTCTGAAATAATTGAGAATATGCATATACTTAATACTCACTCTGCTTATATACAGTATTAATATAATGAAAATGAGTAATTGTATATACCTCTGAAAATGCTCTTAAAATGTAATCACGCAGTCACATGTTTACCAAAAACTTTATGGACATGTAGTAAAAAAACCAATATACCAAGTTACAAGACGGTTACAGTCAAACGAACATTACTCTTAGTTGATACAAACAGATTTATTTTTAGGAATCACTAGATAGTCAGCCATTTGACATGTTTCATTTAAAACCATCCAAGCCACCTCCCGACGACTCTCTATCAGATATGTTCGATTTAAACGGCCATTCTTATTCATTCCCTTCTTCTCCGGAACCAGTGGAGGAAGAAATTATGGCGGCGAAACAAGTAAAATCTGTGGAATTCGGTTTACTTCCTGACCCATTCCACCTTAAGGTAATTTACATGGTTCCTGAAAAATAATCAAACCTAAAATAATAAAATTTTTAGGATAATGCTGCGAAAGCCACAACTAGTAATGCTACAGATACACCTAAGTCAATACCAGATCCTTTAGGCTTATTGGTAAATTGATATCGAATGTTAAGTTTTTAAAAATAACAAATTGTATTTTAGGATAAATCTAAACACGTGCAGGAAAACATCGACAAAACTAAACAAGATATACACAATTTTATATCAGATCCATTCGGATTAAAGGTATAAAAATTGTTAACAAAATTAATTCTTTAACAAATAAAAATATTGCTTTATGTTTAAAGGTAACGGAGACATAATATTGATATTTTAAAATCCATATTATAAGAATTATCATCCATATTAATAATATTGTTAAATTATGTATTCAAGCTAGTTTCATCGTTTTATTGTTTCTTTACTTACTCGGTAAGGCGAAATGCGTGCATCTTTCGCTCACGAGGTGGCGACTGTCACGGTATTCTTGAGCCAAGGGCAAGCAATGACGTTTCGTTGCGTTATGCCGTTAGTCAGTTTCGTAGTTCCGATAAGGCTCTTTTTTCGGATACCTGGCTAGCGTTCGTGTGCTTCGTTTTAAGTGTCAACTTACCTCCAGCCTTATTCCATTCAAGGATAGTGCCAGGCAGGGGCGGTACACATTTCAAAGAATAACTCAGGTGTCCTAATGCCTGTCAAAATTGGATAAGTTAGTCTTCCTTTTCGTTTTTCTCGCCTAAGCCGTGTTGTCCGACGATGTTTTTTATTCTTCTTTTGCTAACTTTGACATTGAAATCACCCATGATGATGGTAAGCTGGTTCTTCTTGGTATATTTAAGTGCTTTTTGTACAAGTGCGTAAAACTCCTTGATATCTACTTCTCGCCTTTGTGATGCTGGAGCGTAAATTTGAATGATGTTCGTATTAACGGGTCTGCTTTGCAGCTTCTTCAGAATGATTCTATCGGAGAGAGGTAGTACGCTGATCACAGCCTCAGCCACCTTTTTGCTCAGACTCACCACTACGCCGTTTCGGTGGCGTGGTTTATCGTTTTCCGCATGATATGTTATACAGCACTGTCCCAAGCCTGGCCATATCATCTGGCTGATTCCCATCACGTCGATATTTATTTTTTTCATTCCTTGAATGGTGTTGTGTATCTTTCTCCCTTGAAACATACTTCGAGCATTCCAAGTATAGATTTTTTGAACGTTCCACGTGCACACTTTTTCTTTATTAGTGTTTAAATATTAGTAAGGATTCCGTGGGTTGACTACCTGAGAAGCCTTACATTTTCTTGTTCTTCCTCCCCTTCAGATCTTGATATCTGAAGTCCATGATCAGTACCTTCTCCAAATTGGTTTACATTAAACATGATAAATGAATTAGGGACTATTTATGGGGTGGTTTCCCGTTGCTTTCCCCATCGCAGTATCACAGCCGTTTGACTAATAATGCGAATGGCACCTGTGAGTATCTAGAATTAAGCCTACAGGATTTTTTACTTTTTCACAGTCTTAATCCAATAATGACATTACTGCTGCCTAATGCCATGTCGTCAGTTAATCCGCGGGTACTTATTTGGCTATGCCTTATTTGTACCTGTCCTGCATATCTGTAAAAACTTTCCCTATCAGCCATTGGAACGCGTCGTGTCGGGGTTGAGGACTTCCCTGCCTAATCTGTCTTACGCAAAGTACCGAAAGACCCCTACTACATTCAAAGCGCCTCCTTTACGCAAGTTGAGACCAATCACGATGATCGTGTTGATCAGTGATCAGTGATGATCGCCAACATCCGGACCAGATAAGGCACTGAAGAAAAGAAGAAGCCCTAATGCCAGCGCAGCGAGGATAGAAACCTCTCGTAAAACAAAATGGCAAAAGCTGGCTTGATCCTGATGTTCAGTCCATAGGGACTGCGAAAGCACGGCCTATCGATCCTTTTGGCTTAAAGCGACGTCGATATTTATTACTTCAATGTCGGCTCTTCCTATAATTGCGAATCAGAATTTACCAAGCGTTGCACTGTTCACCCATAGACAGGGAACGTGAGCTGTGATTAGACAGTCGTGAGAAAGGTTAGTTTTACCCTGATAATGACTCGTCGTTGCATTAGTAATCCTGCTCGGTACGACAAGAATCGCAGGTTCAGATATTTGGTTGATGCACTTACTCGAGAGGGTAATGGTGCGCATCTACCGTCCATAGTAGCTGAAACTCTAAGGCAATAGTCAAAGGTGGCAACAATGTCTCTTGGAGTTTCGAGAGTCAAAAGGCTCAAAACAATGTGACAAGGGCCCTTATTTCTGTTACGATTATCGGTTTATAGTAAGATCGATAATTTCCAGTAGACCAGATCTTTAGACGGACAAACATGGGTATTATAATTTTTTCATGTTAAAATGCGGAATTTTCTGTTGGCGACTCACGTACCAAGCAGGGTGTTGTACCCAATAGAGCAATTTCCACGCTGCGATCTACTGAGACTCAGCCCTCAGCTTGGGGATTCATCTTGTAGGTTAGAAGAGACCCCTGACATTAAAAAAATTATCTAATAAGTCAGACTCTTTTCAGTTTGAGTGATTTTACAAGACTCTAATTTCCCCTTCATTATTCTCATCTAAGATACTACTAGTATTGTGTTTGAAGTTTTTTCGTGATGCCTTTGTAGCACAGGCAGCTTTATTGCAAGCAATTTAACGATTTTTCCATAATAATGAGATACTATGGAGTTTCCATTGATAACTTTTCAGTCTTTTGAATGTACTTATTGCATGCTTGCATTGATTATCGCTTAGAGCGTGCATAAATTTTATTTCATTCCCCTATATAAATCTAGAATGATAATGTTCTTAATATAACTTTTGGTACAGCCTGTTAAATTCTCATTTGAGCTTTTAATAAGCGTTGTCAAGTTACCACAAACTTCTCGACGTTTTCGCTAAGAACATATACCCTAATATTTATTTTTGGTGCCAATATTTTTGCAGGACCATTAATTATTTTTTAGTTTACTGAATATTCATTTTGGTTAGTTTCTTGGTCCTTCTTGGCGTGTCTGATTTATTATATTTAATTCATTAAGAGTCTGGTGATAGTCTATCCTCTATGTGTTGCAAATTTCTTCTACTTAGTTTAGAGCCCAAAAAGACACAAAATTTTAAGTTTAAACTGGAATCTAAGGCTTCCATGGTCATAGTTGACTAATCCTCTTGCTTATTTGTAAATTTTTATAAAAATTTATCAGTTGCTTCAGATTTTCAGCTCTTTTACTTTACATCTATGTACAAGGTATATTTTATATCATATTAAACACAGATAATCGATAGGTAAATGGCTCAAACTGTTTTTCTTATTTGAGTTGTTTAGTCCGTTTGAAAAAATTTATTTAAAAGTTATTAAACCAGTTCTCTTCTCATAATGCATTTCTAAAATGTAATTCAAATGACTGAAGTTAGTTCGCTCTTGCTATTTCTTATTATTTAATTACGTCAATTAACAACTGTTTAAATTATTAAACATCTTTAGATTTTTATACATTTTTAATGATTTAAAGCGATCATCTCTGTTAGTCTCCTTTATGTTTATTCAGACAGCATATTTATGACACGCTTTAACAAAATATTGTATAAAATAAATAATATAGGAGAAAGCTAGGCAAAAGGAAGAACAGGCCTCAAAGGCAGGCGACTCTAAAGTAGAACCTACGAATCCAATAATAAATATTCCATCTCTGCCAGATCCTCTAAACTTACAGGTAAAATCAGGTTAATGTAATAGGTATAGAGAAAAATATTAAGATATATTCTTATAGGAAAAAACCAAACAAATAATCGATTCTCTTAAGAATGCTGCTGATGATGCTAACGCGGCGTTTGACAGCATATCGACCAAACTTCCTGATCCCTTAAAACTAAAGGTAACATTTGGCAAAAATGTAACAACAGTTTTTATTCAATTTAGATATATTGTAGGAAAAATCTGATACTTTAGCAGATGCTGTCAAAAATACTATCGAAAATTCTGAAAAGGCTCTTACGGATATTAAAAGTCTTTTACCAGATCCAGTGAAAATACAGGTAATTACAAGAAAATATTGAAATACGAGCTCCTGATAATGTGGATATTAAATTTTTATAGAAAAGAACTAATTTAGACAATACGCGATGTTTTTAAAGCATATGTATAAGTCTATATTGCATATAGCTTATACCAGTATTGAAAATGATAATTATCCTTACCTTTTATATCTTTAGGAAACCTGTCAAAAAACCCTACTTTTGTATCTAAACAGACAAAGAAAATATAAACTACACATACCAGAACTAAAAGGATAACAAAACTTTTTGATCAGCTGCAGGTCAAATGTAAAGACATCTAAGACAGAACTTCAGAAGAATTTTTCTCTTTAGTTTAAAATGTAACTGTTCTATAGACATTATATATTATAAGCCTTCAAGACTTCAGCAGATGCTTAATATATAAGCTCTCCACTAACATTTAACCTGACCAGACCTTTTAGCTGACGCCGGGGTTTACTCAGGACTCTTTCATTAAGATGAGATAAAACCTTCTAATTGTAACAGTAGTTTTGTCATAAACTGCCTTACTTTGGTAAAAATTAGCATGTAGTATTATATTTTTGTCTAGAATACTGAGTTGAGACGTAATGCTGTCAAGTAATTCAGTGTTTCCCTTGCATGCCAAGGCTGTAACCTCTTCGTTCACGAACGGTTATATGCAACGGTTCATTCACCATTCTGAGAAATAGGTACAAAAAACTTTTCTGTACCATTCATCTCCACGTCACGATGTTGAATATATCGAGATTTAAGAACGCATTTGGGGAAGTAAATTCCTCGCCCAGTCTGTCTCGTCCAAAGTAGTGGAGAGCTTGATCTAACAGTCTCACAGATGAAGAATATAGTATGTATATGCAAGCAAAATATCTGGACCTTTTTATAGTAGCCTATTATTTGAGCTATTTTAGTCTCTTTCAAAGTGTTTTAATTTTCATAAAATCAAAGGGGCTCGTATCCTTATATATAGCAAATTGTTAAGTCAGCAGTTTTAGGAACAAACCAAAGATATATCAGTTGCAATGTCTGAGGCAGCTGAGAATTTTAACAAAGCCATAGACAATATCCAAAACGTCATACCTAATCCCGCACAACTTCAGGTAAATATTTTATCCAATAAAGTAGGGAAAACTACTTTTAAACCTAATTTGTAGGAAAAATCAAATCAAATAAAAGTTGCGCTGGAAAAAACAGCAGAAGAGTCTCTTAAAGCGATTGAAAATATTGAAAGTTTTATCCCGAATCCAGTAAAATTTCAGGAAAAGTCGCAAGCTATTTCAGATGCACTAAAAAATGCAGAAAAAGCTTCCATACAATCATTTGAAAACATTTCAAAAGTATTACCAGATCCTTCAAAATTGACTGTAAGTACATCAACGGCTTAGCATCTTGTAGAAACTTAATTTTTGTTTTCTTCGTAGGATAAATCTAAAGAGATTTCACAAGCTATCGAGTCTGCTTCACAAAACTCTATAAAAGCCCTTGACGATGTTACTAGTAGTATCCCAGATCCTTTACATCTACAGGTATAGTTTTAGAACCGTTTAAATAAGAGAATTGCCATTTAACTTAATGTAATTTTAGGAAAAGTCAAAACAAATTTCTGATTCTATAAAAAATGTAGCAGAAAACTCTCAAAAAGCGCTTGAATCAATACACGAAGTGCTTCCCGATCCTTTAAAGTTGCAGGTATTGTAACAACTAAAAAATAACAATATGTGGAAATAATTTATATTAAAAAATTCCAGGAGAAGTCTAGTGAAATTGCTGCTACAATTAAAAATGCCACCGAAGCATCGCATAAACTGCTTGACGAGATTCAGAATAATATTTCTGAGTCCTTTAAATTAGAGGTAACTGAAATATAGCAAATATTGTGAGAATATTTAATTACTAGAAATTGTCCAATTATTATTTTTCTCAAATGAAATAAATTTATTTAATTAAAAAAAATATTTTATCCTGATTAGTTAAATTTAATACGAATAAACAGCAGAACTATTTTTACGTTAATGGTCACTTTTAGATTACAATAAAAGTGCTCCTTTCCTTGTAATAACTACAATAGACCGATATATAATTTTTTTAAATTCCTCTTGTCTAACAGTGTTTTGATTTTCCTTCATTCGAGAATATAGACTTGCATACTTCTTGCCAGGCCCCTTCCAAAACGGAGATAATAACAGCTATCAAATCTCTGAGAAACAACAAGTTACCGGGAATCGATAATATTGCTGCTAAAATACTTAAAGCTGATCTGCATCTAACTGCTGAACTTTTGCTCCCCATAATCCGAGAAGTGTGAGAAACAAACCACATTCCAGCGGGCTGGAAAAAAGGTAACATTATCAAGCTTCCAAAAAAAGGCAACCTAACACTGTGCAAAAATTGGAGAGAAATAACCTTGCTTACTGTCATAAATAAAATTTTCACGACCATCATACTGAAAAGATTAACAAACAAGGTTGAGTTTCGAGCTATTCAAGCTGGCTTTAGACCAGAATCCTCCTGCATAGACCACATTAATACTGAAAGGATAATAATGGAACGATCGGTTGAATGGAACACCTATACATGGTTTTTGTTAATTTTGAACGTGCTTTTGAAAGCTTGTCTCACGCTGCTGTATGGAAAATTTTAGAGTTAAGAAACGTCCAGCAAAAAAATAATTTCTATTATAAAGTCACTATATACTGATGCGAAATGCAGCGTGACACACAATGGGATCAACAGTGACAAATTCGACGTACTTACTAGAGTTAGACAGGTATGCGTACTTTCTCTGTTTTTTTTTAACATAGCTATAGACTATGTTCTCTCCAAACTAGACTCCGACACAAGAGGGATATAATGGACGTTAACCACACGCCTAAGCGATCTAGAATACGCGGACGATATCTGCCTATTAGGTCAAAGGTTCCATGATCTGGCTTACCAATTGGAAACACTTTTCACTGAAGCCAACAAAATAGGTTTGAAAATCAATATTAGTAAAACCAAGTCCATGAGAATAAATACAAGGAACAACACGCTATTTACTATCGACAATATGCAGATTGAAAATGTGAAAAACTTTACGTATCTTTTAAGTGTCATAACAGAAAACAGAGGTACAGAAGACGACATTCGTATGACGATACGAAAAGCCTAACAAGCTCTCAGCACGCTTAACCCTGTTTGTAGATCTGGCGAGTATACCACAAGGACAAAGATCCGAATATTCCGATCAAATGTCATGTCTGTTCTACTCTACGGATGTGAAACCTGGAAAGTGACAAACACCCTCACAGACAAACTGCAGGTTTCTGTTAACAAATGTCTACGAAGGATTGTTCGTATATTCTGGCCTAATACCATCAGAAACGAAGATCTGCTACACCTGGCCGAACAAAAGAGGGTACAAAATGAAATTAAGTCCAGAAAGTGGGATTGGATCGGTCCCACACTGCGAAAAAATAGTTCCAGTATCGCAAGGACTGCCCTAGAGTGGAATCCCGAAGGGAAAAGAAAAAGAGGTCACCCAGTACAAACTTGGAGAAGATCCATTATGGACGAGATAAGAGGCCAAGGAAAGTCTTGGAATGAGGTGAAGGCCTTAGCGCAAAACAGATCCCGATGGCGCGTTTTCACTGAAGCTTTATGCTCCACTTCGGAGTTTAAGAACCTTATATATATCCTTATATAAGTTTTAAATGTTATCTATGAATAAATATAACAATAAAATATTGAAATTTTTTTCTATATTTTTTGTTGTGGATAAATTTTCTATTCATCAATAAAGATAATAAAGTGAATAAAATATTCAAAAATTTAATATGTTATAATTTTTTTAAGAATATAATACTGGCTAAATCTAGTAACTTTATATTTACAACTTTACTTTTCTTGCTTAAAAATTAAATATACTAATGGCACTTCGGATGGTTAATTACATTGTAGGAAAAATCTAACAATATAGTAAGCAGTATAAAAAAAGTCGCTGAGAACTCTGATAAAGCTTTAGAGTCGATCACAGCCTCTCTACCTGATCCTTTAAAAATACAGGTATTTATAATACTAAAATGTGTTATGCAGAAACTACAAAATATAGCCTTTTAGGAAACATCCAAAAAAATAGCAACAACACTCGGTGATATCAGCAGCAGTATTCCTGATCCATTGGAGTTTCAGGAAAAATCTAAGAAAATACTTGAAGGGATAAAAACTTTAGCAGAAAGTTCTACTAAAAGTTTGGAACAGATAACTGGCTCTATACCGGATCCTGCAGAAATAAAGGTAATACATATTTATAAAAGCAGGAGGAATTATCTAAAATAAAATTTTATTAGGAAAAGTGTACTAAAGTCACCGCTGCCCTAAAAAATGTAGCTGACAGTTCTACCAAAGCCTTTGACGATATCAATAAAGCTGTAGTTGACCCTGCTCAACTACAAACTGCGGCGTCTAAGATCACAGACGATTTAAAAGTTTCCTCTGAAGCTACAGTTAAGGCACTCTTAGCCATAAATAATATGGTTCCCGATCCTCGCAAATTTCAGGTAAATAAGATTTATGGCTCACGTGTTAAGTATTAAAAAGTGGTTATATTTCAGGAGCATTTTGTTAAACTTGCCACTAATGTGAAAACTCTAGGAGAAGCTACCAGTGTTGGGTTGGAAAATATTCAAAAGGCGATACCTAACGCTTCAGATCTACAGGTATAAAATAAACTAAGAATATCCAGAATTTTATTATTACTAGCTTGGTTTTAGCTAAAATCTACTGAAATATCAAGCAAGATAGCCGATACAATTGAAAACTCAAACAAAGCTTTTGACAGCATAAAAACAGCATTACCTGATCCGGCCACTTTTCAGGTATTGTTATTAAAAACATAATTATTGAAAATGAATTTGAAAGTTTACCAATTTGACAATTATCGCGGTTAAAGCTACCGCTTTAAAATCTGAGTTAATAAATACAAAATTAAGTTATTTTTAGGGGAAATTCGAACACATTTAGTGATAATTTTCCTCCAGTAAACAAACACATTTTTTTAATTCTTTTGACCTGCGCTGTTGCGATGCTATTTTAAGTATCTAACTAGAAAAAGAATTTATAGAATATCATCGTTTTTCTAACATTTTTGTGATATCTTGCTTTTTATATATTGTTGCTCACTGTAATGTTCTTCTTGGGTATATTTTATTGACGTGATCTCTTGATTTGTTACAGTATGTCTATATTCACTTCACTAAATCATGACCCTATTCTTTTCACTACATTTCTTCATTTGCTCACTCATCTTTTTGCGCGGAAAAATTACTGAAAGAGGTACAAAAGAACCAACCGCATTCATACAGCAGAAATAGAGCTCCTATTTCTTCTAAAGTCAAAGCACCTATTTGTTTCTCCCCATTACGCTGATTACTTTCGCCACTTTGGATTATTTGGATTAGTGATTCCGCTTTCGTCCTTATTATACATTTTGTCTGAAGTAAACCATGCTTAATCTAAAACTTTTTTTAAAGGTTATAAAACTTTTCTATATTTTCTTTTCTAAAAACAAGGGTTCTGCTGTGAGATGTACCAGATGTAACTTCTATCCTTTGATGTCATTTTTAAAAGAATATTCGATGCCGTTTTTTCTGCCAACTTAACAGCCCTTTTTCTCAGGTCACTACGAGTAAGCCCAAAAAACGAAACGTTCATAGCAAGATAATAATTATCAAGCTTATTCTGAAAGCCAGTCTCTGAAGCACCGTATTTCATGTTGTATAATCTCATTAATGTAGTTTTCGGTATATTATACTGCTTACTTGCTTTTTTCCAAACCATCTTTTTACTTTTAAAAGCATCTATAGCCTCTTTAATTTTCTATATTCTTTATGCCTTAGCTTTGGCTTAGGCATTCTGAAACATTCTGAAAAAATAAAAAAAATACGTTGTGTCTCTTGGAAACTGACATTACTACATGTGCTTCGAAATAAAATAACTTGAGTATAAACATAATCCTCAATCCGTTCCCATTAAAGAATGTATATAGATTTTATCACTTACAGTATCATATCAGTACTAATCAAAAAGTAGGTCGGTCTTAATTGTTTCTTATCACTTAAAAACTGTTGTTGTCATTTCATTGTGCAATAGTTTGACCGAGTGCTTGACTCCGAGTTGACTTCAATACAGAGCAGCAAAAGCATAAACTAATGTTTTGTGGCATTACCAACAGAGTGCAGTAAATTGGAGAATCAGTAATGCTCGGGGTTCGTTTTGGGGCCAGGATCTGAATTTAGGTACTTTTCTCTACAAATATAAAAAAGCAACAACCATAAATTCAAATAAAAATTTCATGTACTTTAGAAAAACGCTAACAAAGTCTAAAACTCAAAGGTAAAAGACCGTCTAATTGTTGAATAGGTATAACTTTATCGTCTTCAAATTAACGAAGATCTTTTAGAATAAATCCCACCAAATTACTGAAGCCTTAGCGTCTACAGCTGAAAATACTAGCAAAGCATTTGCTAGTATTCAAACTGCATTACCAGATCCTACCAAACTTGAGGTAATATTGTGACACTTTAACTAAAAAAATAAGTGTTTTATGTATCTCAATTTTAGGAGCAATCCAAAAAGGTTAGTAATGCTCTAGTAGATATTGCAGAAAAGTCAAACAAGGCATTTGATAGTATTTACAGTACTATACCCGATCCAACAAAAATACAGGTATGGATATCCTTTAATATCTTAAGAAATCATTTACAAGTAACTCCTAATTTTAGGAATCATCTAAAAAAATAACAGAAGCAATAAGCAGTGTAGCTGATGAATCATTAACTGCATTTAAAAGTATTGAGAGTTCTTTGCCAGATCCTTTAAAAATTCAGGTATATTTGGAAATAATATTTTATGTATATTACGAGTACTAGTACTTATTTTACATTTTTGCAACTGTAATATGCACTATGGTAAATCAAAATATAAAAATATTAAAATCAATTTATACATACATTTTAATCTTTTTTGGAATTAAATCCAAATAATTATTTTTAAAATTCTAACGTAAAAGTATGCAGACAAAAATGGGAAACAGTAGAAACTTTTGGACGAAAATGGGAATGCTAAGAGAAATATTGTCCAGTGGACCATTTGCCTAATTAACAAATTGGTTTAAAATAAACATAGAACAAAGTATTAATAATTCTGTTCTGAAGCAACCTAAAAATATACACATAAATAGCCAAGAAACAAACTGTTACAAAGTTGTAGAACTTGAAAAAACGAATAATCTTGAATACAGATTAGAACAGAAAAGACAAGTCAGTCAAAATTATCAAAGATGTATGGTCAGTTATACCGCTTTAAGACTTTTTTATCTGGGAGTACCACTTTATCGTAGTACTTTTTATTGGAAATAGATTAGCCAACTCTACTTATTTGACTTTGATGGTCTTCCTTGCGTTTGATCCATCTGATAGGGAACACCCTATCTTCTTTAATTTTTTTCACGTGGTATAACGTTGATGTTGCATTTTGATGGTTACGTGTTTCGATATGGCTAGATTTTCTTTTATTTTTCATGTGTTTAGCCAAAGTTTGATATTCTTGAGAGAATTTTATAGGTTTTCTGTAGCAGTGTCTGCATTTGACGTGATGCTAATGTTACAGTATTATTCTTGAATATACCTCTTGTTGTTAAGTGTATTTCTGGAAAATCTATGTAAGTATCTGTTAGTTAAAGCATGAGTCGTGGGACAATACCACGAGATTAAATGTCGCATCAGAAAAGCAAAAAGTGCATTCTTGACTATGAGCTCTGTGTTCAAAAGCCATGACCTCACCCTAGAAGCAAAAATAAGGCTCTGTAAATATTACTCAGTGCCTCTGTACAGAGTAGAAACGTGGACATTAAAGGCGGAAAGTTTATTAAAACTTCAGGCTTTTGATCTATGGTTATCCAGAGGGATTCTGAAGATACCATGGACAGACAAAATCACCAATGAAGAAGTACTGCGGAGTATGAACACAACCGCGGATTTGTTCAACATCGTGGAGGGCTGTAAGCTGCAGTACTTGCGACATATAATAAGAAATCAAGGTAGATACGAGCTACTTCAATGCATTTTGCAAGGTAAAATTGACGGAAAGGGGCCCCGGAGTGAAAAAAAAATATATCCTGGCTTGCTAATCTGAGAGCATGGTGTATAAAGACCTTAACACAGCTATTTCGTATGGCAAACAACAAAGTCATCATAGCCAGAATGATTGCCAACATTAGGAACACCCTAAGAAGAAGAAAGGCAAGCTAAGAAGAAGAAGAAAGCCTGTCTTATATCCAGGAAGGTTGCGAAACACTATTGTCCATTTTTTAGGTCATTGTTGACTTATTTTACAATTTTATGTACCTGTTGGATAGTGCTATATTTGCGAGGAGAACCAGACTGGCAATCAGTTATCTTTTTCTATAAAATTTTTGTTTTCAAGGATAGCTTCAATTCTTTTTAACAACAATTTGTCAAATATTTTGGATATAATTGGCAATAGATTGATTGGTATATATGAACCAATTTCTTTAGGTATTTTCCCTGGCTTTGGCATCATAATATTCGTACACTTTCTGGGTAGCTTTTGTAAGACCCTTTTACAAGTTCAAAGCTAGAAAATTTTTAGTAGTTAATAGGTTTTAATTCTGTGTATAAGTTTCTCTACTGTCAAATCTTTATGTAATCCAAAGGTTTCTACTTGTTTAAAACCAAAATTCAAATTCTTCCTTAAATCCGTACCCTCTACGATTTCGCTTTCATAACTTAAAAAAGAAAACCATAGCACAAAAAAACTAAGACAATATTCTTTTATCAAAAGGCATATTTCAGTTGCAAAACTGTTTTAAAAACAAAACATACACAAACAATTTCAGGAAAAAACTAAAGAAATTACAAACGCTCTAACGAAATCTGCTGAAATCTCTAGCAAAGCGTTCGAAAACATTAGTAGTACTTTACCAGATCCTCAAGTTCTTCAGGTAATAGCAAATTTTGGTTAACAAACGGTTAAATTACTATCTAAATTTCTCTCGCATTATAGAACAAGTCAAAGCAAATTGCTGATTCAATTATCGATTTAGCAGAAAATTCTAATAAAGCCTTGGAAGGAATTCACAAAGCTTTACCAGATCCCTTACAGATACAGGTAAAAACTAGTTTTTAATAGAAAATATTCACTTATACAGAATTTAAACACATTCTAGTCGAAATCGAAAGAAATAACTGAGCTTTTAACAAATACAGCCGACAATACTTTGAATGCATTTAGTACCATTGAGAGTGGGATTCCAGATCCAATAAAAATACAGGTAGTTATCTTATAATATAAAAACGAATATTGTAATAGTTTTACCAATATTTTAGACAAGCGTCCAAAAAATTACAGAAATGCTACAAGATGTAGAAAAAAATTCAAGTAAAGCTTTAGAAGATATTAAAACGGTACTACCAGATCCAGTAAAAATACAGGTATATAAATTATCAAATAATTTTTAATTAATTTTAAATTCATGCATTCTTTAGACTGAATCACAGCTGATTACTAAAGCACTAGCTGACACAGTACAAAAGTCGAGTGAAGCCTTTGAGAGCATCCAGAAAGCAGTACCCGATGTACTGTCAATACAGGTATATTCATATACATGAATTATAGATCTATATAATAGTTATCAATGTTTATATTTTAGAAAAATTCGACTAAGATTATGGACGCCTTGGCAGAAACTAACGATAAATTTACTAAAGTCTTCGATACCATTGAAAGTGTTTTACCTAATACTTTACAAATACAGGTAAAATATTAACGTTAATGATTTAGATGATCTTTATTTTTGGAACCATAATTTTAGAACAAATCCAAAGAGATCTCTGATGCCCTTGTTAATGCTGCTGATGTATCAACGAAAGCTTTTGATGGAGTATTAAGTGCGCTGCCTGATACTAACAAAATAAAGGTACAATAGATCCATCAATATTACGCAGTAATCACAATTAAATTTATTGTAGGAACAGTCGGACCATATTACACAGGGGCTTCTTAAAATTAAGGAAGAATCTATCAAAGCTTTCGATAATGTTCAGAATGGTTTACCAGATCCGTTAATATTTCAAGTACTTATATTTTATTTTTTACGTACAAGATCACAAAGAATTTTTTTTTTGTAATCATGTGAAGTCAAATTTTTTTATCGGCTACAAAATTTATTGAGTTATCTTTGTTTTTTGAAATAATTTGGTAATTTTTGGATTTCTTTAACATGTTATTATAACAGTAGTGTGTCCAGTGTTGATATTTCATAGGTCACAATGGCTATTCAGTACTTCCTAATAGAATTTCCATTCTGTACTTTTTTACCTTAGTAGTTAAAGAAGCAGAGACCTAACAGTAAAGTCTCTTCCCAATCTGTTGATGTTTTAATCAATAATTTTAATAAAAAACACATTTTAATACTTATGAAATATTTTCGAAAATATATCTAAACCAGCTGTTATATTTCTTTATTAGACTTTTTCATCTATCTATGGTGGTACTTCTAATAGAAATAAAAGTGAACATAATTCCTATTTATTTTATAGTTTATAAATTTATAAAAGGTTTTCTACGTTTGTTCCAATTTATTTTTCATTAAGTGCTTTTTAAACTATCTCTTCTATTTACATGTTATAAAGTAGTAGGAAAAATAAGCACTCTTGTGATACCCCTCGTTGCTTTATTTCATTCTACAGCTCATTAACCAACTATACAGAAGAAACTTGCTTAACCCATTAGCGCCAAGATTAATAAATTATTGATTTTGTATTATTTATTGCAATAATATTATTAATGGACTGTGTTTAAATGATAAAAAACTCAATCTCATTTCTGAGACATTAAGTGTTGCCTTAAAACAACGCTAGGTACCCACACTACCTAGTTTTTGTTGAAAACAATATCCAACTTTTTTATAATGCAACATCGAGCATCCATGTAAAAATTAGCCAATACCATTTTTGGCCACAAATACTGATCCGCTAGCAACTTACATTCTGATCTATTTGATCAGTTCCTTCCATAAATGTGTTAGACTTGGCGATCAATGTCGTTCTAAAATCAAATATGTTTCGTTTGAGTTTTTGAGAAAATATTCGTACTTGACCTACTTCTTGAGTGTCAAATAATGATGAAATCAATGATCATCATCATCTTTGGCTCTACAACTCTGGATGGGACTTGGCCTGTGCAAGAATTAGTCTCCATTTTTCTCTATCTTTCGCCCTGGCTTTCCATTTTCGGACCCCTAGATTCCTCAAGTGATGTTTGACTTGAGTTTTAAATCTAGATTTTGGCCTGCCTCTCTTCCTGGTTCCTACTGGCTTTTCTTGTACTCCTCCGTATATGTGCCTAAGTATTCGTCTTTCAAAGAGGCCCAACAGTTCTTCGTCGCTTTTTAACATAGTCCATGTCTCTGACACGTATGTCAGGACAGGTTTTTTAAGAGTTTTATATATTAGTATCTTGATTTTTTTGCTAATTATGTGTGATGCTAAGAACTACTTTAATCCAAAGTAAGCTCTGTTCGCCAGGTATATTCTTCTCTTAATTTCTACGCTTACTAGGTTCTGCACTATACATCCACCGGACATATAATTGTCCAGCTGTTTCGAAATAACCTCCATCTTTTTTCATAAACTCATTTTTACGAATTAACGGACATCCTCTGGGAACTCGGTTTTTTGCAAATGGTTCTTATGGCGTTATAACCACGAAATTTTGAAAATGAAAATAAAGCCCTTCCAGAAAACAAATTATCTCGGTTGGCATATCGTCTAATATTAATAATAAAAGACTAGTGGCTTTCCCAAATAGTTTTTCATAGTTATTGTTTGATTTTGGATTTTTTCCTTGGTATAAGTCAAAGTTAACTAAATACCCATTTTTTTGATACATCACATTTTGTATCCAAGTCTAATTGGATTTCCTCGAATAAACTGCTTGCAGCTATGTCTGCCGAAGTATTTTATCATACTTTCATCGTAAGAGAACTGCTCTATCGGTACAAAATTTTCAACAAAACTTTTTCTAAGCATGTCTATAAGAGGTCGCATTTTCCCCATCTTGTCATTTTGAATAATTTTGATATTATCTAAACAGTGCAAAACCGGCAAATCTGTAAAAATCGATCTCTTCCCACGGCCTTGCATACTGCATAACTTTTCATATCGTTATTGTAATCCCAATAATGTCGCTTAGATGTTAATTGATTATACCCTTTTATATATAAAATACTGATAAACAAACGGATCTCCTCATCTTTTCTCTTGGGATTAGGACAATTTAAAAATATTGCATAACGACTTTCGTCCATTAAATGTTGGATAAATGCATCATTTACAAATTGTTCAAAAATTTTCGTTGGAGACATTTATTCGTATTTAGAATAGTCGGGTTGGAAATGCTGATGCACGTTCTTTGCCAACGTCTGCTTCCTTTAGCCACTGAGGTTGATTTTAAGGCTGAAGCAGTCTCTCTGAAATCCAATTTTTTTGCTACATCAGATTCAAAATTATGACCAGTGATGTCTTCAATCTGTATAGAATCTTTGTTCAAACCAATTCTTTTATTGTTTATTAGTCGTATTTCTGCTCAGACATGTATTTAATGGAATGAAAGGTTATCTACCAGTCTAAAAATGGTAAAGTATTAACATTACATTATTAAGGCCATAAACTTTTTTTTTATTAAAGATTTGATTACTATATCACTACATACTCTCCTTTATCTTCATCTCCTGATTCCTCGTCAGTGTCTACATTTGTATCTGGAGGTTAAAATAATAAAATTTAAAATATAGGTAGTACAAGCGCCTAGCGTTGTTTTAAGGCAACAGCTTTGTTACAACAGGTACTGACAAGTAGTTGTTGATCAATTCATATAAATCTTTTAAAATATGTTTTTACAGAAAAATAATCAACACAAATTTAACATATATAAATAATAAGTTTCATTTATATCGAAAATATGTTACTGACTTAAATCGAATATCCATTATTTTCAAGTTCTAATATTATACTATACTTTAAATGCACCAAACTAACAACAGTTCTTAATAACGCAAATAAATACGTAAAACTGACTGTGAGCGATTACGGTTGATGGAATTGACAAGGTCACACCTCTTTTATGGTTGTTTTAGGACTTCAAGTTCCTCCCAAATATAAGATTGTTTGCCGGCGTTTTAAAACAATGCACGGCGCTAATGGATTAAAATACAGACTTATTTTTGCATCTTTTATATCCAGATTTTTATCCCGAAGTAGTTGAAGTTGAAGGCAAATATATTGGACTTTATCAAATGCCTTGTTTTATTTAAGGACACAGACGTATAGAGACTGGTTATTATCCATTTATCTTTGTGAGATATTTTTTGTATCTTTAATCTGTCGGGAATGGAAAATTTGTCTTTTTGATTAATTACCTCTCTTATTATGTAAATTTTACTTACATGTTTTATCGTACTTTCTAAAAGAGGTCGACATCTTCAGACCTTCTATCTGTGATTTTTCATATTTTATATACAGTAGCCGATAAAGAAACATTTAAAATCCTATATTTAGCATTCCTACCATTATAGAACAAGTCAAAACAAATAACAGAAACTTTAACAGCAGCGGCCGCAAGTTCTACTAAAGCTTTTGAAGCAATCAATTCTTCATTGCCAGATCCTCTGGATCTAAAGGTATTAACTACATATTTGTATACAACCTATTGCTAAAGATAATATATTTTAGAAAAAATCTGATCAAATTGTTGATGCTTTAAATAAGGCAAACGAAACGTCCAGCACATCATTTGATAGCATTACAAATCTTTTACCAGATGCAACAAAAATCCAGGTATAACTTTAGATTTAATTTTTTATTGGAGTACAGAGTTAATTTTGTAGGAAAAATCACAAACCATTGCAAAAGCTTTGGTAGATATAAGTGAAGAATCAAATAAAGCTTTTGAAAGAATTAATGACATAATACCCAACCCAGATGGATTACAGGTAGTACATAAAGTGTTTATAATTCTATATTATGGTAAATAAATTACACTTGTAGAGCAAATCCAAAGAAATAATTAATTCAATAGGAAATATAGAAGAGAACTATAATAAGGCGTTTCAAAATATAGAAAGCGTTTTACCAGACGCTACTACAATACAGGTATACACAATTTGTGATTCTTATATCTACTTAAATAATATATTGGATCATATTTCAGAACACGTCAAAGAAATTATCAGAGTCAATTAAGGATGCCACCGCAACTACAGATAAAGCTTTTTTGGATATAAAAAACTCTTTGCCTGATCCGAAAAAGATCGAGGTATTTGTGCTATTAAGCAGTAATTTTATAATAATAATTAAAGTAAATTTTAGGATCTTTATACAAATATTACAGACTCAATATCTTTAGCAAACAAAAAATCCCAACAAGCCTTTGAAGGAATTCAAAGTGTGTTACCAGATTCTAATGAAATAGAGGTACTAGAATAACACTCAAACAACTTTTTTAACTTAACATATTTGATTTTAGAAAGAGACAAATAAAATTGTAGAAATATTGGCGAATGTAACAAAAAGCTCAAATAAAGCTTTTGAAAACATAACAGCAAATGTAGCTGACCCTATAGAACTACAGGTAAAATAAAATAACAAATATTATTATATATAAACTACAAAAATGTGACTTGTAGGAAAAATCTCAGAAAATTTTGGATTTGTTAACAAAAACAGTTGATTACTACAACAATGCTTTAAAAAGTATCAAAGATTCTGTCCCAGATTCATCACAAATTCAACAGGTAGAAGATGAAATTGTTAAAATAAATACGGAATCAAGTAAGGCAATTGATAATGTCTTTAAAGTTTTAAAAGATCAGCCAGATTTGCAGGTAACAATTTATAGTAAGTTAAAATCTTTAGAATGTACTTGAAAATGACTTAAATATCGCTTAAATATAACTTGAGTTTCTAATTATATTATTCTACATCTATCATGGTAAAAGTTGTCAGAATCTACACAAATTAAATTAAAATTAAATAACACTTACCATTCTATCCAAAGTAATTGGTACAAACTTGGTACATTAACAACAAAAACTTTTTTATTATAAATAACATTCTAACGAATAGCTCAGAGACATGTCTAAATTTATAGAAACGAAACAAGCCAAGGTTTAATCTGGCTTCTCAGTTCTCTTGCAATAGTTGTCCTATAAAAACCAGAATTTTATTTAAAGGTCATGACAGTAATTTCCCCAACATTATTATATGCTGTTAAATTGTTTCAATTTTGAATCTTTTATATTATCAAAGTAATGACCTTAAGTTATTTTCAAGTGCATTTGAAAAGATCGCATCTTCCAAGACAGTTGTTTATTCACATATTCTAGATCAAATCAAAAGCTATTATAGACACAATTACAAAATCAACTGAAAGCTCCAACAAGGCAATCGAAAGCATTAATTCTGCTATACCAGCTGCGTTTGACATGATAAATAAGTCTATGCCAGATGTTTCAACAATTGAGGTAATATTCTCACCTATACTAATGTAGTGCAATCTTTAGCTTGTAGTTTTTAGAAAGTTGCCAACCAAATAGCAACTGAAGCTGAAAAGTCAAAAAGTGCTATTGAACAATTTAACCAAATGCTACCACTGGTTTTTGATAGTATTCAAAAGTCTATATCAGATGAAAAGAAAATACAGGTAATAGAACACCAGCATTTTGGTAATACAGTTTAATTTGTTATATTATAAATTATAGGAACTATCTGAAAAGTTAGTGAGTGATGCTACAAATTCCAACAAAGCCATTGATAGTCTAAATAAATTTATACCAACTGTTTTTGACAACATTCAAACTTCTCTTCCACAACAAGATAAAATCCAGGTATATTATCAATTTCTTATGGTGTATTTTTTATAAAACATAAATAAATTGTAGCAAATGGCCAATATAGTAGCAGAAAAGTCAAAAATATCTAACGAAGCAATAGAAAATTTGGGCAGTAGCTTGCCAAACCTTTTTGACCAAATACAGAGAGTTATACCTAATTCTGTAGAATTACAGGTACGAATTGTATGCACTATAATTATTCACTAGTAAACTTACACTAACTCTATTGTAGAAACTAGTGAAACAAATTGTTGAGGAAGCTGAAAAGTCAAATAAGGAAATCGATGAAATGGTGAAGGTTGTACCAAAGTCGTTTGGGAATATTCAGAGTGCTATACCAGATTCTACAAAAATAGAGGTAAATTGTTGAAAATTAGTGTGTTGCAAAAAAATAACAAGAACTTTTTACTTTTTGTCATTGTATCCAAATACCAAAAGAGTGAACGTTGTTGTCCTATCCAAGTAATCGTGATATACATACTTGTTTCTTCTGATTTTTTTAACCGCGGTGATGGCATGTTATGGTACAGTTTGTCAAAAATAAAAATGACTTTGAAAATCCTACAATCGGCACGCTCACTTAATGCGCAGCAAAATTACCGACAATTACCTTTGAAACAGAAGAAAACTTGACATGTAAACCATGTTTAAAAATCACGTAATCCAGACCCGGCGTTCATTTATCTCTTTCTTTCTTTTGAGTCAAAATGCGTCGCATTTCGGCTTTATTGACGTTCCCAAAACAACGAAAACAGTGAAACTTGCAATCTGGTCCTACGTTATAAGTGGTGGCTCTGGGAAGTTTCATAACGACACGAGCGCGGACTGTTTTTTTTTTCTTTATTTAGCAGCAGTATCCACATCTACATTACCACAATCGCTACCACTACTTTCCATTTTAATCCGTATGTACTAATTACTTCACTATTGTTTACAAAAAATTAACTGGAAAACTAGAATACATCAACGAATTCGCTAGACTAAAAGAGAATCACATAAATGCTGCACCTGATCTGACCTTTTGAGATTAAGAGGAGGCACCTTTGATCCCTGATGATTCTTCCCCAGTACACAATTTCATTTAACATTTGTTATAAAATGACTGTAAATATTTTCTCTTTTACTTCGTACCACCCGAAAGTAATATGCATTCATCACTAGAAAACTTCGTCATCTCAATTTCGACCAAACGTGGACTATGATTGTTTTTTTCCCTGACTCCGCATATGCAAACTGTAAGTTGGGAACTAATGGTCCTATTGAACTCTCGTATATATACAGAAGTGTAGCAGATGCTTCTAAAGGCATGTCTACAAAATGGCTATGCATGTATCCATAACCTCTGGGAGGACGTTTGGCTAACCAACGATAAACCTTTTTACCCGTCATACTTCCCAGATGCTCCACAACTCTAACCGCGTACTGTTGTTTGATTTTACTGAATCATTAAATTATTCCCTTGAGGCAGCGTTGTGAGAAATGGCGTATGAAGTTTGGTGCTGCATAAACTATGTTATATATTTTTAATGATACTATCCTTACTCAGGTACGAAATTTATTGGGCGATTTGTATAAAAGTCCTATTTATATCATTTCTGTGGACTTAAGTATTTTTCTTGTTCGTCAGCTCTTTGTCATTATTTATTCGCTGTTTTATTCCTCATAGCTGTCTATTATTCCAGTCACCTTTCTTGAGTATTCTATTAATCATAAAATTTTTTATGTACGTTTTTCATCTCATAGCTGCTCTTTCTCTCCATCTTCTTTTTGGAGGGTTCCTGTCCAATATTCTTTTCAGCCACTTATCCTCTGGCACTCTTTGTTCTTTTCTATCACTTGGCCTATAATGAATTATCCAAACATAATCTGGCTTATCCGTATCCGGTTTGTTCTTTGCCATAAAGATCCATAAGTTGTTAAATTTCATGTTGTAACTGTGGAAAAGATTTATGTTATACAAGGCATTACAGTTATTCTTCTATATTTATTTGTTTACCTGTTTTCACCTTTTTTAAAAATGAAGGATATGTAGAATAGATTCCACTAAATTGGAACCTTTTCTATTGCTTCGGTATTATTGAAAAACACTTGTATAATGAATACGATGCTTCATATTTCAGCAGTTCAATTTTTATGTTCCATCGTCCTGGTGCTTTGTTGCTTTTGGCTATCTTTGGTGGTTTTTTATATCTTTCTTTATGATTTTGACTTTTTTTTTTGGTTATTATGCCTTAGTAATCATCTGTATATTTTTACTTTGTTTATTATAGCATATTCTGTAGCCTATACTAATATAATGTTTGACTACTTCTATATTCAATAATAAACAAAATTCTTTACTTCGGATATACTTCTTCTTTGTTTCCCACTTATGCATCTCAATTTAATCTTTTTTTTTACTCCTCTTCTAGTTAAAGAGTTCTGTTATTTTTTGGTTACAATATTTTTTGCGAAAATACTTTTATTTTAGCAACTATCTAAAGTACTAGCAACTGAAGCTACAAAATCAACCGAGTCAATTCAAAAACTTAGCATAGCTTTACCTAAAGTTTTTGATCAACTTCAAACAGCCATACCAGATTCTCAGAAAATACAGGTATATTATAGAATATCAAAGTATATAAAAAACTTAACTGTATTGTTTTTGTAGCAAATAAGTGATAACGTAGTTGAAAAGCTCGAAGTAACGCAAAAGAAACTAGAGGACCTAAACACTAGTTTGCCAAAATTGTTTGATAACATACAAACTTCAGTACCAGATTTATTGGAGATAGAGGTATATAAAATTCCAATTTTCGTATTTATTGTAATTATTACAATTTATCTTTTAGACAAAGTCAAAAGAGATTATTGAAGCACTAGCTTCTGGTTCCAAAAATTCAAACATAGATTTGGAAAATATTAAGACTGTTTTACCACAAGTATTCGAGAGCATTCAAACGTCTTTACCAGACCCAATCAAAATACAGGTAAACTTTTTTCTCGATCAAAATTAGCATACTTAAAGGTTTATATTTTAGCAAGTTGCGGCTGGTATTAAAAGCACAGCTGAAAACACTACAAAAGCTTTAGAAAACTTGGAAAACTCTATACCAGATCCCGGAATCATACAAGTAAATCAAATAACACACGTGATTTAATTTTATTTAATAGACACTATTTTAGGAGAAATCTAAAAATATTACTACATTACTAAAATCTACAATTGAAGATACTAATAAAGCATTTGACAATATTAAATATCTTTTGCCGGAGTTCACAAAGATACAGGTATATAATTGAATATTAATGGGGTTTAATAGCGGAATATATTGGTTTGTTATTTCAGGCTAAAACCAGTAGTATTGGGGACATGCTAATAAATAACGCAAGTTCATCTGAAGAACATACTAAAAACAATAGTAACATAGACATAGATTTGGACTTTCAGGTAGTCGTATTCAAAAATAAAATTATTTAATACCTAACGCAAAGAACTTTGGGCAATAATAAATTATTCAGAATAATTTTAGTGCAGTGTGATAAATTTTTCTTGTCATTTTTCAATATCATAAACGTTTCCTTTGAAGTGACTTGTTTTGTTTATACGTCACTACTTATCCATTGGAACTAATTTACAGACCTAACTAACTATCGAAGAACTATTTAAACTACTAACAATACTGTAGATCTGTTAACTATCTGAGCTACCTAGTAGTTACTGTGTTTTTGCAACTACACTGCATAAGTTGGCCCATGTGAAACGTTTTGCTTATTACAACAGCATTCATTTCTTTTTCTATGTGGTCTCTTGATTCTACATTTTCTTTTAGTGAGAACCAAAAATTAAAATACCATTTTTATTTATTCAAAATATTTGATTAGAAATTATTATAATCTTTTTTAAATTATTTTAAATATTAACTTGAAAAAGTTTTTTGCCATACCGGTTTCTTTTCTTTAAACGAATTTTGTCTTCTGTTTTTAAAAACCTGATCTAAAACTTGATGTTTTACCAAGGTTCTTACGCATTAGGCTACAAACGTAACTTGAGCATTTTTTATAATTTACAAGATGATAGTAGAAGGTAAGATACTTGAGCGCAATTTGACCTTTGAACTTTTGTTGACATCAAATGTGACATTTAACGTAATACGTGACATTCAACATAAAAGTCATATAATACGTCACTAGTAACATAATACGTTACATTTGACATAAAACTCAAATGTTTTATATCAAATGTCACGTATTATGTCACACATTGTGTCAAGTTAAAATGTCATGTAATATGTCACGTTTTATGTCGAATCTTACGTATAATTTGACGTTTTATGTAAAATGTCACGTATTATGTCAAGCGGAGGTCAAAGTTCACAGTGCGCTCAAGTGTCTTACCTTCTACTGATGATTTCATCTCATTTATTAATTTATATTTAGAGGAAGTCTCAGCAGATGGTAGACACCATTACAAAGGCGACAGATAACTGCAACAAAGTATTAACAGACATACAAAGCATAATGCCTGATCTAATAAGAGCATTGGTAAATTAAAACAAATATTATATTGTGACTATATTAGATCATAAATTAATCATTTTTAGGAAAAGTCTACTAAAATGGTAGATAGTTTATCAGACGCGACCGAAAAATCTAATGAAATAATAGAGAAATTAGAGGTAAATTGTTAAACTTTTGCTAAACTATGAATCAGTGGCAATTTTATTTTATTTATTGCAGGATACGTCAGCTAAGTCAACAGAAATATCAAATAAAATTTTAGCCAGACTAGAGGTAACCAATGTCATTAAGAGTATGACTTAATTGCGTAAATATATCAATATTATTAACTGCTAGTAATTTTATATGGATCTGATATTGTATTTTACCAAATATACCAAATGCCTGCAAGTTCTTGTTAAACTAAAAAAATATTAATACAGAAAAATTAACAAATTATAGGTTTACACAAATTACTTGTAAAATACGAAAAAATTAATGTTTAGCGCTATATACTCGTCTATACTTAAAAGGGGTTGTTACATATTATAATGCCAACTACATAATAAAGAGTGGCTCAAAAGTCTGGAAACGGCTAATTATTCGTAAACTGCTAATCATAATTGTACAAAATTTGAGGTACACCTATTTTGGGATACGAAGATTCCATATTTGATATTTACAATGTTGCCAGATTTGCCGTTTCTCTTCTATAATTAGTAACTTTGGTTTTTCAACTATATCACCCTGTATATTCAGTCATTATTGGAATCTTCTATTATATAAAGTTAATAAGTTAATAGTTAAGTATATAATATAAGTTAAACCATATGTAACACTTATGATTTTATGTAATCTGTATGTCATAAATACATAAAACCGAAGTGTGGCAACGCCTAAATTGTTTCAATAAATTTTTTAATACTAACTATTATACTAAATACATCAAAACGTAACAATTGATAGTTTAGAACATTTTTTAACATAGTAGTTACGTTATTAAGTTGTAACGATGAGTCCAAGCCATCACCGTTAAACCAGCGTGCGCGCGAACCAACCCATGTAGTAGGAGTGTATCGACAGTAGAAAGGGCAAAACTAATTACCAAGCTCCGCTATATAAACCGCAACATTTCCTCATAGAGGAGAATCGACAGGTGTTGACTGAAGGTTCTCTTCTTCCCTACCCCGGCTTGTGGACGTGTTGAGTTCACAAGTTGTTCCGTTCCATACCGTCGTACCCGAAGAGCGTGTTGATCTCTTCATTACCCGTACTCTGAAGCAGTCGAGTTGAGACTGTCGAGGAGTGTCCTATTAACCCGAATCACTTAAGGAACGTGTTGAACGTCCTTTCCTTTCTTTTCTTTGTACCTATCGTAGGCTGTTATTAAATCGATACAACGTTCACGTAAAATTTCAAAAATACAGTCGATTGCCGATAAGACTAACTTCATACGACAAGGTCAAACTTAATTTGAATAAATAGGCCAGGTACTGAGAAGACTAAACTAAATTGTAAATATGTACATAAGATTTTTGTCAATTTAATTTAAGGAAGACAATAAAATTTTATTTTTATTTTGAACTCTGTCTCTGACTGTCCAAAAGCTACCCGGATAGTGACTCCTACGAGAGGACGTCACAAAGTGTTCAAAATACGCTCAATTTGTGAGTTGACAGCACCCTAATCGATGGTAGAAGGCGTCTACCACATTTCTCCATGATTGTCTAGAAATTATTTGAGATTCATTGATAATTCGTTGCCTTAGCTCTGCAAGACTTGCTGCTTCAGTTTTGTAAACTGAATTTTTCAAGTATCCCTAATAAAAATAATCTTTAGGATTAAAATCGGGTGAACGTGGAGGCCATTCAATTCTACCTTGTCTACCAATTTATCGTCCAGAAAATATCTCATCTAAATATCGCCGAACATTTACACCAACTATTTGACGTTAAATTTCTTTCGACAAAAAATGACCCAATTGAATAAGTAACTATTATATCTGACCATATGACCGTATGGTCAGGTATGTCTTTTGTCTATGTCCCTTTTTTGTTATTAGCTATCCCTTATAAACAACTTTCAAAAACCTATAGATTTTTACATAAAATCGACGAAATTTTCACAAGTAAACTAGAGTATCTAGTTATTGGTTTTAATATTGTTGGTAGAAGCACTTTTTTAAACTGCGCTTCTTTTTCTAAGCGAATTGTAAAATTCTTGTCAGTAATTATTTTATTCTAAAATATTTTTTACTTTTTTCAGCTTTATATACATCCATACATATAAACTTACAAATACTTATCTAAAATACAAAATCATGCTAGTTCGACAAATCATTTTACAGTGTACACCTAAAGAATGTTTTCGAACTGGAATGTTTGAATTAAACATGAACCCCGTCTTTCCGTCTGTTTCGTCGGAAATATACGCCGATGTTGTTATGTGCTATGAGGTGCTAAAGCTTGGCACTTAGGTCGTAAAAGTTGTCTCAAAAGAAGTTTTAAGATCTTTTTAAGAGTTGTAACAGACGTTTTTAAAAAATCATCTTTGTATCCCAAGACTCAAAGGGGTCTGCTCGATATCCTCAGATTTTAAAACTGAGAAGTTTTGTAATTGTGATAAAAGTTTTATACAACTAATAATTTTACAGTAGATCGTAATATTATTGAAACTAGGAATTTTTCTATATGTTATATATATCATATTTGCTATTTCGTTTAAGTATTGAAGTAAAATATATCTGGTTGTGATATAAGCTGTCCTTGTACTTATTCAAGCTTGAGAGAAAACGAAAAGGTCCATTTAAGCATCACACGTCCTATTCATAGAAATATATAATATCGCATATAATACATTTTATAAGATTTTTACCATAACGGCTTACTTTTAAATATTTTGAATATTTTTGCATAATATAGATTTACACCTATTTTGTTCGTACCATCAATGAAAATCAATATAAACTTAGGTTTTTTAAATGCTTGGCTACTTATTTTTTCTAATTAATAAGGGCAGGTTTACACGTATCCAGTAACTGGCACCAGTCACACTGATACGGCAGCTCTGACTGCCTGACTACTGGATACATATACACCTTGCTTTATAGATCAAACTTCTATGTCCCGAAATTTTCGCTTAGCCAGTAAACCAGATTGCCTGCCATGAATATGTTCATATATATATATATATATATATATATATATATATATATATATAATATATATATATATATATATATATATATATATATATATATATATATATATATATATATATATAATTCTTTGGAGGATAACTTTCGGGAAAGCGTCAAAACAAGGATCAGCTAGAGATGGTATAAGCCAGTTTGGTGTAGAACTTTATTCTAAATGTGAAATTTTCGGTGATATGTTGTCACCTTCATCAGCACCTAAATGGAAAACCTATTTTAGTACAAGTGGTGGAAGTTAACATATAAAACCTACATTGAAAATGTTCAGTTGGTCCTAGAGTTCAAGAACACTGTCACAAACATGTTAAAAATATTAAAAATTACATTTAAAATTTTGAATAAAAACATTACAACACAACAGGGTATTATTTAAAATACAAACACAACAAAAATCTAAAAATTATAACCTACACAAAAACTGCAACTTCATGTTAAAGGTAGAAAAGAAGAATTATTCTTCTTTTTTGATGACATATTTCTGACTTCTGTCAATATCCGGGTGTCATATGCAACGAGGTTATAATTTTCACGTTAGAACCTCATGGATATGGAAAGAAAGAGCCCCAGGAAACACAATCAGCAGGGAAATGGAGTCTTTTCTCAAGTACAGGTAGGCAATCTATGTATGTTATGATAAGTTCCCTACATTCTCCAGTTTGTTACATCTTGTCAAGTCTTGTTGAAGTAGAAATGAATAAATACAACTTAAGTTTTCAACATCTTTCTTACAGTTCATAGAAGAACTGCAGTTATGGATGTAGCACATTTCTATGAAGTTTCTCTTAAATTGGTTGTCAACCCTCTTTAGTACTTGCACATTTTCATAGTTAGCAATGTGTCCAGTATTCTTAATATGTTGGCTAAAGGCTGTGCAGGTGGGTTTCCTCACTACATCACTCTTGTGCAAAGCTAGTCTTTTTGAAAGTTTCTGGCTGGTTTGACCGACATACACTTCTGAACAGGAACCACATGGAATAGAATACACTACATTGAAGTTATCCAGTTTTTTAACTCTTTCTGTCAGGTGAGTAAAGTATGTTCCTAATCTTTTGTACACTGAATTTGCTATCACTATGTTGAACTGTCTGAAAAGGTTTGTGATCTGTGGAGATAAACCTCTGATGTAAGGTAATCTCCCATAGAAAACTTCTACTGTTTCTCCTTCTAATGTTTGTCTTTGGTGTGTTCTAACTGTTGGCATATCTGGACAATATTGTAAATGCACGATATGCCAACAGTTAGAACACACCAAAGACAAACATTAGAAGGAGAAACAGTAGAAGTTTTCTATGGGAGATTACCTTACATCAGAGGTTTATCTCCACAGATCACAAACCTTTTCAGACAGTTCAACATAGTGATAGCAAATTCAGTGTACAAAAGATTAGGAACATACTTTACTCACCTGACAGAAAGAGTTAAAAAACTGGATAACTTCAATGTAGTGTATTCTATTCCATGTGGTTCCTGTTCAGAAGTGTATGTCGGTCAAACCAGCCAGAAACTTTCAAAAAGACTAGCTTTGCACAAGAGTGATGTAGTGAGGAAACCCACCTGCACAGCCTTTAGCCAACATATTAAGAATACTGGACACATTGCTAACTATGAAAATGTGCAAGTACTAAAGAGGGTTGACAACCAATTTAAGAGAAACTTCATAGAAATGTGCTACATCCATAACTGCAGTTCTTCTATGAACTGTAAGAAAGATGTTGAAAACTTAAGTTGTATTTATTCATTTCTACTTCAACAAGACTTGACAAGATGTAACAAACTGGAGAATGTAGGGAACTTATCATAACATACATAGATTGCCTACCTGTACTTGAGAAAAGACTCCATTTCCCTGCTGATTGTGTTTCCTGGGGCTCTTTCTTTCCATATCCATGAGGTTCTAACGTGAAAATTATAACCTCGTTGCATATGACACCCGGATATTGACAGAAGTCAGAAATATGTCATCAAAAAAGAAGAATAATTCTTCTTTTCTACCTTTAACATGAAGTTGCAGTTTTTGTGTAGGTTATAATTTTTAGATTTTTGTTGTGTTTGTATTTTAAATAATACCCTGTTGTGTTGT